CTTGTTCCTCTAAAATAAATGAAACATATATCGGTATGCATGACATACGACAAAGTGCAACATCACCTGTAAAGTTACATTTAAGCATTATAGTGTAATAAAAGTGAGTTTAAAGGTGCAATAATTAGTGCAGAGGGGTCATTCAACGATCATGGACCAGTGTCAAAATATATTTAAGTTTGGATATTTCATCAAGACTAACATCTATTTTTATTATCTACAAAGAAACCCCCTAGATAAACATTATTTTAGCTGATATTCCTCTTGAAACATGGTGGATCTTAAAAATATAAAAGTTGAAGTCCCCTTTTTGAAGCTTTGAACTGAATTTACACTTCTTATGCTGAAATTGATCATTTATCCATACATTTTAAGAAAATAGGTATGTCAAAGAAGATGTTAAACCAAATGTTGCCTTGATAGCTCAGAAAAATTGAAAAAACTTTCCTATTTTCTCTACAGTCCTTATTGCCCCTTTAAGCTTGCAATGTTTTTCACAACCTTAACGTGAATAGAAAATATTTAAGGATGCATTTGTATAGGTGATTTGCTATATGTATAGTTGGCATTTTGATTTTATATGCAAGCTTAAAATCCCTAATATAACTGCAATTACGTTTACTAAGGCCAATGTCAGTTACTAATTGTGGTGGTCATAAACCTTATAAACTCTGTTTCTTAATGATATGTATATTGCTATGTATCTAATGATATAGCTGATTTAATTGAAATATGATGACTACAAAAGTAGGTTGTATAAATTAAAAGATATATTATGTTTATTTCTCAAGTTAGATTTGCCATTCTGAGAAGATGTATTTGACTTTACCTTGGGACTTTGGAGAATCTGTACAATTTTTGGTTTCCGTCGCAATGGACTGCATGGCATTCTGTGTTACAACAAGGGCACTCAAGAAGTTCAATTGATTGCATTGACCTGACAGCAGAATTACAATACCTCCACTCGTCAAAGGCCTTGGAAAATGTAGATGGGTTTATGCAAGGGTTCTATAAGATGAAAAATAACAACAGTAGTTCCTTCCGAATCAATGATCTGAGCCCTTGGATCGTGAATTCGTACGATCCCCAATCCAATCCGGATAAAGTTTATCTTTTGGGATAAATCTTGGATTATTAGTCGGATAAATATTTGGTAAATTCGTACAATCCGAGGATTATGAGGGGAATTCCCAAGATTTATCCAATTTGCATTGCATTTATCAATTTTATCACAAAATTTATCCAAAAAGTAATCCACCTCAAGAGGTGCATCGAGATTTATCCTGAGATTAATCCCAGGATTGTACGAATTCAACAATTTTTGGATTAATGCTAGGATCAAATCATTTTCGAACATTGCAAAAAAGATCGTTCCATGTCACTTAAAAGATACAAAACCGAAAAGAACATATTTTCAATGAATAAGTATTAATCCACTGTGAAATTGAATCAAAATTTCTCATCATTGCTATTTATCTACTATGTAACAAATGATATTCAGTATTAACCATGGTACTTACCCTTGCAAAATGCTTGGATGTGTCTGCTAGTAGGGAGATGTAACTTCCTTCAGAAAAAGAGGTATCATGACGTAACAAGGTGTTGTATTGTCTAAAAACCTCAACGCTAAAGAATGTGTGGGGGTGGACAGGTGATCCAGGCCAGTAATTGGATGACATAATGCGATTCATTTGATTTCCAGGCATTGAACTTTGGCACGCTTCACAATAGTATGATGGTAGCCATAGATCATATCGACCTGAAGTTAAATTAAAGTCAAACATTTGAAATGGTTCGTGACAATCGTTTATGAATTATAATGGACGGAATTCCTGCTGTTATGCTATCCAACGTTAATTAACTCATGCTAGGATGAAGAAAAGAATGCATTTTTTTCTTCATCCTAGACTCATGTATGTAGCTACCTTAGCCTAAGTTTCTAATTTTATCATCATTTAATACTTGTCCGATTCGTTTTTAAGCATAAGTGAAACATAAAGAAAAATATATTACCATTTCACATGAATAATTGCACTAAATATCGTATGGCCAAAATCATACCTGATGTCGTAATGACAATACATTCCTTCCCTCTCGTCGCGGTTTTCTTTATCTGATGAGAACCGCATTGTTCACATAAATCAGGGGTCAAACATGGAAGTTCTCGGCCTAAAATATAATAGGAAAATTAAACAGCATGTTCAAGGTTTCACTCATTTTACATAATGTTCGTACTGGATCTATCCATTTTCTATCCATATATTGCAATCAACTGGGGCTTTGGTACAGTACTGCTCAAAACGTTTGGAGACTATTATAAATGCAAAATATCAGAACTCTCCCAGACATAAGAAATCAAAGTAAGCGCGATTATAAAAATAGATCATACCGCTTTCCTCACAGTTCCGACTTTCCATTCACACTTCATGAACTTATGGTTTCATATGCATATATTCCATAATCAATTGAATTATCGTTCGTGATCGTAATGATTAAATTAATTCATAAAACAAATAACTTACATGTTTCCGTTAGCTTTTCTTGTTGATACGTAAGCGTCGGCGGGATGTATCGAAAAAAACCGTCAGTCCAGATTTCTCTATTGTGGAAAGGGTTCAGCATGTGGGTGTCCTGATCACAAAGGGAGCATAACATTACAGGTACGCCGGACCCACAGTCTCTACAACGAATCACAGCGTCCGAAGAGCCGCATATCTTGCAAATTGCATTATGGTGAATGGCCATTTGCTGGACGGAGTTATTCAAAAATGTTCCTCTCATACGTTTCCAGTTGCTATCTTCCTGAGTTGTTCTTTCTGTCCAAGATGGATATGTTCGTTTTGGTGCCATGGAAGTTGCTGCTTCTCTAATGGTTGACAACAGATTCTCTAGTGCTAAATCCGTGTCTTCTGAAATCGCAGTTTCAAAAACAATGTTACGATTTATTCGAAATCATTTTATATGAATCTAAATATACTACTATAATTTGATTCATTGTATAACACGTTAAAATTAGCTCTAAAACATTAAAATGTTCATTGACTGATAAGTCGAGGGTTGAACCATATTAAACTAGTTGTGTATGACTACAATAAATTCATTTTACATCAGCAAGTATTCGTTTCTTTCGAGGGAAGGAATTATGCAAATTATGTTAAACTCGATGTTTTGCTTCTTACCCTGTAAACCATGGCCTTCTTGAATTATCTCAGGGGCTATACGGGTCTTTTGCCGTTCTGTAGTTGTCTCTTGCCGTTCTGTAGTCTCTTGTCGCCTAACTAAAAACAGAGCCTGATGCTTATTCTATTTTATTCATTGTTAATAATCATTATAACAAACTCTTCCTTTTCGCTGAATGCTTTTACGTTTTATGTCGATTTTGGGGTATTGGCACGCATGTGCTGTTGAAAGCATAATAGTCAAACTATATATGTGTGTTAACGTAATTCAATACTAAAATAAGTACCGCTTTCATGATTGCGATTGCAGTGCTTTTTTGCAACGACTCCTCCTGTCATTGGATCTCGTTGATACGTGTAGACCTTCACTGGTGTAGTCACACTCATTTCAGCCGTCTGTCGTCGCAATGTCTGTTTCAAAGACGCTAGGCATGAATCGAAGCTCGGTAGCTCATCCTGCTTACGTTTTGATTGAGCTAAAATATCAAAACAGGAAAGTTTTGTCTTTATTTATTTCAGTTCCAATAAAAGATGTCACTGCATACCTTGTGGTGTTTCACATATGTGTCAGTGAGTAAATCGATAGGCAATAGCTGAGTAATGTAATACATATGGAGGGGTGGAGTCATAACATTAACTCTTTCTAAAGTATTTGTATTTGAAACCAAAAAAGAGTTTGCTTAATCAATTATTTTAAAATTGAAGAATGTGCATCTGATACACCACGTAAAATGATTCTGGAATATCTCGTAATTGCCAAGTAATTTCTCGGACAACAACTTTTGATATATTGACCCAGCCCCGCCTATGCATTTAGAGAGATACTATTTCACTTTCAAGTACATCATGTTAAGTCATCGGATCTGTTGCATCCAACACAATAAAATAGATTTAAATGAAAATCGTAATAAATTAATAAACGTGACAGATACAAATGTGAATTTGTTTAATTTACACATCGTGGCATTGCAACATTGATGTTCTATTACAGAAGGAATGGCTTGTCCGGATTTCGTGTAATTGATTATTACGCAATATATCTTTATCAACTTACTAGAATCACCCAAAGTGTTTGATTGTATGCTTGAAACATGTTCATGTAAATGAAGTATTGCACATAATGCCTAATGACTATTCAGTATTCTTCGAATTGACGATCACCACCCTATCCATAATAAGCCCTTGCAGAATTGAACATGAAATGTTGGTCAAATACTGTATAAGTGGTAATTTTGCCTAATCATTTAATTTTCCTATTTCCTAATTTTTTCCAGGTTCGGAAAATTTAACGTCGGAAATATTGTCTTTATAATGTTATCCAATGGGAGGTTTCTTGTCATTAGGAAAATTAAAATTAGGAAAATGATGAAATTTGACCATTCGGAAAATTAACCACACGGATTAAATACCACTTATACAGTATATGTTAATGTAATTGATACTACATGGGGGTTAATAATAAACAAAATCACTAATTATTACGCTCGTAAGAGTCATTTCAGATGTTACCCTGGCAGCATTGAACAGTTGCTTGCAAGAAATAATGGTAAACGTGTTGCAAATGTAACCAATACTAGAAATGTTAGAAATTAATAACAAAACTAATGCCCATTGCTACGTCATTTAGACGAAAATGCTCAATCTATTGTATTTTATAAGTTTGAAACTTATATTATACAGATCTTACTTACCCATATCAGCTATGTTATATGAAGATCTCGGAAACAGCATTCGATCAATCAATCCATTGGTAGTTTTATTGAAACATCCGTGTCCAAGAATCACATGCGTTCCAATTTTAAAGGCATGGGGCGGATATGCTATCTCCAGAAACAAGATCTCAAATCGAAACTATGATAGTGAAACGGAAACATAAATATACCCTCAATTCATTCGTACTATACCGACGAAATCCCATTCGTAGTATAGTGACGAATCACGTGATGATACCAGTAAATAGCACAACGTCAAGCAAGCCAGTTATACAACTGAATATATCTGATACCAGAAAAGGGACAGAAAATGATTTAATTGATCCAGTTAACTATACAGCTGAAATCAGCAATCCACATGATTTTGAATTCACAATTAATGAAAATCAAACTTGCAAGAACGATGTTTTTCTTCTTGTGTATGTCTACACAGCACCAGGAAATTTTGCTCGCAGAATGGCCATCAGGAGTACGTGGGGAAATACAACTTCATACAATAAACCTGACAAAAATGTCAAAGTAATTTTTTTGCTTGGAAAAACTACTGAGACTCTACAATCCAAAATAAGAGCAGAGAGTTTACTATTTAAGGACATAATTCAAGAGAACTTTGTGGACTCGTACAGAAATTTAACATATAAAGGTGTGATGGGATTAAAATGGGTTGGAAAGTATTGCCCAAATGCTACATTTGCTCTCAAAGTTGACGATGATGTTTTTGTCAATATATTCAGTTTAGTAAAATATTTGGAGAAAAGTAACAGTAATAAGGTTATATATGGACATATGTGGCCATTAGGATCAAAGAGACCTGTTATCAGGGACAAAAAAAATAAATGGTATGTATCGAGGGAGGAATTTCCCATGGACTTTTTCCCACAATACGCTACTGGTATGGCATATGTTATTTCCGGCTCTGCAGTGAAGACATTATACGACACATCGCTACATTTGAAGTTTGTCTCGATGGAGGATTTTTACATTACAGGCCGTGTTGCAAAATCTGTTAATGTCACATTACACAACATGCATGGCTTTCTGTTCAGTCCAAGTGTTGAACACTTTTTTAAACAAAAAAAAGAACAAACAGAAATAATTCAAAACAATAACTGGAAGTTTGCATTCAGTGGATCAAACAATATGACTTCTTTAAATATTTTATGGGATAAATTAATATCTGAACAAAATATGTAACCCATTTTATGATTTTGGATTTTGGATGTTGTAGGGGAGCCTGAAATAATAATAATATTTAAAAAATATTACTCATTTTAATATCAAAATCATTCAGATTGATTTTTATGTCACTACCAAAAGGGGTGACATATTGTTATAGTCTCCAACTTTTTTGTGGATGGTGTTTGGCATTTAGCAGTATATAAGTGTCGGCATTCAGCGGTTGTCAACTGTGTCAAATGGCAGGTAGTGAAATTTTGCATGTTAATGCCTTCTTGGTATTTTATTTTTTTTACTAAAGCATCCTGGGTCTCACATAACGTCTTAATATATAGTATAATACAATTATTTCATTCTGTTGAGTTGAATATATGTGTATCTTTCACAAGCAATATTCCCCAAAACCCTGAAGGGTAGGGGAATAATAATCCTGTGAAAGATTATTACCATTAGTAAGCCCTCTGTCAGAATCCTTCTTGAATAGAGAGTCATTCATTACGTTTGATTTCGAATTCAACCTTGTTGGCTGCTCGCATGTATCAACCGTGCCGGTGTGAAAGAAATTATGGTCCCCTAGGGATTATGGTCCCCTTTCTTAAAGGCCCTTACTGGCCCTGATTGTGGATATGATAATAAGGGAAAGAGTTGTATTTAGGTCACCATATAAATCAATGGAAAGTAGGACCATAATTTGATAGGACCTCCTACCCTTTTACACCGGCTCGTTGCTAGTGCACCACAGGGGTTTGATGGCAATAAACCGCAATAGACCAATAAACTGTCAACTATATGCAGATATCAGGCTACATGTATTTAAGTTAGACACATATTTTCAAACCAATGAAATCACCATTGAAATATGTAAGAGTTGCAACTGCATTCCTTGACAATGATCTGCTTTGGATTGGATTTTAACACTTCTTTACAATTTTACAATGATTACGTTTATGATTTCCATTAGAAAAATGAACATCACATCAGTCTAAACATTGATTTTCATGGTTCAAATGTGTTTAATATTATTTATGTATGATACTCTAATCTTTAGGGGTTATTCAATTTAATTCTTCATTTACTTAAAATATGAAATATGTTGATTTGTTCTAATTCAGCATTGATATTGTGATGTATATTTTATGTGTATATTGTAGTGCATTTGACGTTATATCATATGACTTGACTGATTTTATAATTTCCTAACTTTAAGTTTCTGACTATATGAAAGAAAGGTGTATGTTACTTGTAGGTAGAGATGTTTGAAATTATTCTTAGAAATAAACACTTGACATAGTTAAACCCTCCCTGACTTCAAAGGGTAACTGTACTGTTCTGAATGCCCCAATGATGTTGAATTATTTATTACTTTCCAGCCAGTACAGAATGCCATTGTGCAATTAAAACTGCTTGGTGCCATAGAAAACACAGATGATAATAAGGTCAGTATAATAAAATGACAGCAAGATTATCAAACACCTCAAGAAAAAGTATGCCGAAAGGATTTTGTTTACTACTTGAGTTTGTAATCTATAGAAAACTCCTTTAGAATTCAAACAAATCGTAGAGCCAGAAAAAGTGGTCAGATCTAGCGATTTTAGTGGCATTTTTATTTGAAAACCTTTAGCTTTTTCAAATACAGTAATATGTATTGAAAGTCACTGAACATTATTATAACCTATTCAACCTATTTTATTCTAAGATAAAACGATGATAAGTTAGTGTCTAAAACAACCAAGTCATCTGATATTTCAAATACACGAGGCAGATGCAACATTATAGCGGTTGAAAGATCATTCAGCATATTTGAAGATTGCAAGTGACAAGTTTATTACTTCATTTATGAGAACCTGCAGGTGTAAGGAAAGATGTATTGTTTGACAACAAAATCTCAGATATTGTGTTTGAATGACTATCAATGCCAATCTTATCATACTCAATTATTTTGAACTATTGTTTACTAGAGTTTATGGCCCGGGGAAGGGGAGATGCTTTGTTTAAGACAATAACATGTCAGAATAACATGTTTGAATGTCTATCAAGACAAATCTGAAGTAATTCAATTGTTTTCAACCATTTTTAATGGTTCGGTTGAACAATATACCACGAAATACAATGTGCAAACTAAGGCTAAACAAAAGTTAATATATAAACTTATTAAATAAGTTGACATTTACACACATTTCAATAATACAATTTTCTAATTGATTTAAATTCAAAAAATATAATTCCACTGGAAAAAGCATTGAAAAATTATTCATTACAAATGTAATACATTTTTGATACACATGCGTTAGACTGCATGTCAATTAAAAAAAGTAAACCAATAATAATATTTTTTGGCCGAACAACAAAGATCTAAACTACAAAATTGATGAAATTAGCATTAAATCATGCAATATTTGGCTCAGGCTTTTATTCTTATTTACAAAAGGTATTATTATAGTGGCAAATTGATAAACTTTTGATGCATCACATAGGCATAGCCAGGGGATGCGATAATCCCCCCAAAATTAATGAAAATAAAACCATATGATAAGAAAGAAGAAGAAGGGACCGACCTTTAAAACCTTTGAAGTTGCATCAATTTTTGTAAAATTCAAAATAAATCTTATTTTTGGCTTGTTTATGCCACAATCGCACTGAAAACCTGACTGAAAACCTAAATTTTTTGGTGATCGCATCCCCCTGACTGAAACCTGGCTACATCCCTGCATCATTTTACAATTGTGTCACGTGACAAGAAACAGCCATTCTGAAGTTGAAATCAGTTTTTCCACTTACACATGCCGACTTTATATCCCCGATAACATAATAGAATGAAATTTTGGGAATTTTAGTTGCTCATCATAGTAAAGAGTAGCCTTTAAGGTAGCAAGAATATAGTCTAAATGGAGTGAAATCAATTTAATACAATTTTTAAACTGTTTTCAGTGCTTGACAAACTTCGGACACATTTGGGACTAATCCGCAATGGTTCAATTAGGAATTAGGAATATAATCACAGTAAATCATCAATAAATTTGAATAATGGGGCGGAGCAGATTGTTTTTAAAAGAAATTTCACTATTTTCAGCTTATTTGCAGAGAAAATGAACCAGCACATGCAATGACAAGGTCAATCATGCTTCTTTATGAAATTCATCGGAACTCTATTATGATCCAATTTGATCATTTGCATTATAATATACCTTATCTTAATGAAGGCGTCTAATTATCATCCCGGATAGTCTTAATAAGCTTGGTTTTTGGAGTTGGGTGCCAGTAACAAATGGCAGGTTTTGATATTTTGTTGCTTGTTATTGCTTTGTTGATAGTTTGCCAAGTGCAATGTTATGTTATGCACATTCTTAAAAATACAATACAGTTCATTCTATTGTGTTGTTACCTAAGTAGGGATAAAAATTGTTTAATTTTCTATTTTAGCTTACTCCTCTTGGAAGAAAGATGGCAGCATTTCCACTTGACCCTAGTCTTGCAAAGGTCATCCTGAAAGCAATTGATTTTGACTGCCTGTAAGAAATACATTTATAAAGATTTGAGATATCTGTACAAATATGGAAGTAATGAAAGATTTGCAAAAACAGAATTACACTACAATTATATACATCTGTATATTGTCAAATGCCTAGAATCTAGATCATATTTCTTATCTTCATGCTAGCTAAAATTAAGGTATTTTCTCAAAATTAAGTTTAATTCAAAGAATTAGATTTTGGGCTTTTTAGAACATGCAATGACATTTGGAATGATGTAAGTCTAAAATACTGTAAAACTAACAATTTCGTATTGATTTGTAAAAACATCAGTCTCTTAAGTTTCAGTTTAAAGATATTAAAGCACTGCATAAGATAACAATATTTTGTGAGTTAAACTTTGTTTATATTTCAGTGAGGAAATATTGACCATCGTCTCTTTGTTATCAGTTGAGTCAATCATGCACAGTTCTGCGAGTAAACGCGAGGAGGCCTCTACTGTACAGGCAAAGTTCATCTCACATGAAGGGGACCATCTCACCTACCTCAATGTATATAGAAGTTATAAAGGAGTCAGTGGGAGTAATGTAAGGGGCCATCTCACCTATTTCAATATATATAGAAGTTATAAAGGAGTCAGTGGGAGTAAGGTAAGGGGCCATCTCACCTATTTCAATGTGAATAGAAGTTATAAAGGAGCCAGTGGGAGTAAGGTGAGGGGCCATCTCACCTATTTCAATATATAAAGAAGTTATAAAGGAGTCAGTGGGAGTAAGGTAAGGGGCCATCATTGGTATGATTTGTGGCTAATTAGAATATATGAGTGACCTCTAAAAGTTGGTTTTAAATAAATTCACAAATTTTGGGACAAAAAGTCTATCAAAAACCACTTTTTGAAATTTTAAAAAACATATCACATATCACACTTTCATAACATTGGGTATTCAATTCAATTCAATTTAATTCATTTATTTCATAATTCTTATATAATATACACTATAAAAACAAGCCGCTAGACACCCTAGTGGGTATATGTTGCGGTTTAACAGAAATCATTAAAATGACATCTAGACTACATATAAAAGAAAACACTTATATTATGTTACATGTAGGTATATAAAAATGATATTAACAATTAATCTAAGGATGTACGATGTAAAAATATTACAAAAATCAGGTACCAGTATAAAATCAGCAGTATAGTATGATATTGGTATTATACATTATCGATAGATGAGTAGTTTTTTATATGAAGATTTGAAAATATTTAGAGTGGAGCATTTTTTAATATCATGTGGTAGAGCATTCCAAAGATTAGGACCTAGATAGCGAAGGGAAAGTTTAGAGCATTTAGGGATATGAAAATAATGCAATTGTCTTGTGTAATGATGATGAATATTAGTGTTGATATCAAACAAGTCTTGAAATCGATTTTTTGGAAGACTGGGGTGCTTATTAAAGATTTTGTACATGAACTGACCAGTACAATATCTGTTGACATCAAAAATATTTAATATTTTAAGATCTTTAAATAGGGGAGCAGAGTGAGAATGTCTATCCTTATTTAAAGCTAGCCTTAAGAATTGTTTCTGCAGTTTATGTTTCAAACGTACTCAGAAAACCAATTTTACTTTGGTCAAACATACTCCAAATTACAAAAATACAATTATAGCATTTAAATCTCTGATCTTTTTGCATTACAAAAATAGACACAAGTAATATAGTCCGATTCCATCGTGTACTGACAGGATTGATACTAGAATAGTATATAATTCGTATATTGTATGTCCAGTTTATTTAATGAAAACGTTGTTAGTATATTACAGGACGATAATGTTTGTTTGCGATATGAAATCCGTAAAGATTCAGTTAAAACAATAGATTTTTCCTTGGGAGGAAAAACAAGTATATTCTTGACTGATACAACCGATAAATATGAAAAAGACTGACTTTTATCTATTTAGCTGAT